AAAAGTTTTGGTGCACTTGAATGATGATGTCTATTTGACACAACAAGTCATAGAGAAATTCATGGTCATTCTTTGACGCTACTTTCATCATCGGTTCTAAATACACTGCTTTAAGAATTTCAAGCCCTTTGATGTGTGTAATTTCAGTTTGATAATACTCGTCGACAACACGACGGTAATGCTCTTTGTCTTTAGAAGTCATTTCTCTGTTATCTATCCGGTCATATAATTCAGTCTCACTCTCTTTTGGCGTCGGCGAACTTTCCGTCTTAATCAGACACTTCATGATAACATTAATGGTGTTGCCAGAAGTCACCAAATTACCAGCGACATCACAAACATATGCTACGTGTTATTTTTAATTCGAACACTTCCGAAGACAAAACCGTCACAAATTTCGATGCGAAGTCTCAAAGTATTTTTAAAAATAAAGAAAAAAACACAAAGCGGAAATTGGCGCACTAAAACAAACCAAAATTTTCTGACTGGGAGCTCATAAAACTCAGTGAACGGGGAGACTTTGGGGAATGTAATTGTGGCGAGCTGACGGTCATTGTAGACGTCTCTTGTGATAAATTGGAGTGTAAAGCAATAGCTGGTTTCTCTGTGTATTTGTCTGTAAATGAATCGTGGTGTGACCCGTGCATAGCTATCGACCGTTGTCTTCTCGGAGGAACCGCAGGCTTGTTGTGAATAGGATGTACTTGGTAAGAGACAAACAAACGGGAACTGTACCAAGAACTTCATTATCCGCCATTTTAATCAATTTCTAGTTTCCTTTCCATATTTTTTGGTTTTGATTTATAATTGGTTTCCTTTGTTCGAAGAGTCTAAACAGATTCTATTCAAACCCACCCTTTAACTATTCTCTTGTATAGATTTGGTGTTTCCAAAAAAATAGAGACGGTCAGGCAAAGCCATGAAATGCTATTTTAAGACGTGTTTTTCGGCATTATGAAAAATATGGATTTGTCTCTTTTCCCGCATTTTAAATAGAAACCCCCTTCTTTTTCTAGTCTTTTTAAGAAAAAAAAGCTCAAAAATGTTTTACTAATGCAATTGGTGTTTGACATCGACATGTTATTAAAACAATATAAAAAGAACAATGATATGGTGATAATAAACTCTATTTGTCTTTGTATTTAGTTTAAATGCAAAACGAATTAATATGTTTTATAAAACCAATAGTGGATATTTTTATACCAATGAATTTAAAGATGGGTTGGTTGTATTTTTTAGATACTACAATGAAAGTGTAATGCAGTATACAATTAATATTGAATCATTTTAAATATATCTTTATTGAACAAATCATAGCATTAATTCATATTCTTTCCTGCTTTACAAATCGGAGAATCAATTAAATATAAATTATATGCATTTTTAAAAGAAAAACAGAATATTATATTAATTGTTTATTAATATTTCCCTTTCTTTATTATAGTTAAATACCATTTATATTTAACTTGGTTTTTCTTCAAATTATTACAATGTTACAATGTTTAAAGTTTTTGAAATTTTTTCTTGATAAAATTGTTTTTATCTACAAAATAATGAGAACGATTATTACAATTACATTACAATCAACACAAACATAAATATTAGGCTTTGCACCCGAAAATTTTCTTATTAAAAATTAGTATCTAAAAAAACTAATAAAACGGGAAAGAAAAATTGACCCGTTTTATTAGCGTTTTTCGATACTAATTTTTGATAAAACAATTCTCGGGTGCGAAGCCTAATAAATATTCACAAGTCTAATATAAAATACTAAAATATTGGAGTAAAAATTCATTCAAATGTTCATTATTTAGTTTATTGTATATCAAAAATAAACAACAAAATTATTCCAATTCTTTTAACTGTTCTTATTCTCCATTTATCTTTAAAAAATTTATTCATTAATTTAAACAAATCAATTGAAAATGCAAAATCCGACCATTACAATTGAAATTGGAATGAACACGTTGTCATAATTTGGATAGGAATAAAACTCGACCAATGCCCCCACGATTCCAAATAAACAGTTGTACATAAAATACATATTCCCATATATCAAAAAGCACATTGCCATTGCACCAATCCCACCAAATAGAGTAACTGAAACTGTCCCTTCAACACTTTTTTCATTTCCCCATGGATTTTTGAGTTGTCTTTTACCGCACTTTTTGCCTATTATTTCGGCCATCCCATCACCCATTAGCATAATTACAATAGCTGAAATAGCAGGTGGATAATTCTTCCAAAACATTAAAGAGAACGATGATATGATCAGACAATAATTTAAAGGACCATATAACATTTCATGTGCATCTTTCTCTCTGCATACGGAGTCGACCATAAAACGTGATAACATCCCTTTTACGATACCAAATCCAAACAACATAAAAACAATTGCAAATATAAAGCAACCAAGTGCTCCATATACTCGAGCATACGGTTCGTCGGGATAATACGCCCAAAACACAATTTGAAATGTTCCTGTTAAAATGTGGACCATTTTGCGAGAAGTGACAGTGGATATAACATTATAATAACTCAATACTTTTCCAAGAACTAAACAAAGTGAAACAACAACCATTGTCAGAGCAAATAAAGTAAAAGATGACAATGACATTGATGTGATATTAACAGTTTTTTTTGTTTAAGGTTTTGTTGAAAACCTTAAAAGGGTGAATGGTTTTCTCCATAAATAGAAAACCATTTTGTGAAACTATGAAGAAGTGGTTTGTTATTATAAAAATATAAACTTGAAAAGTGAAAAACACTTTTTAAGCAATTTCTTTTCACTTTTGCAGAAAAAACAGAAGGAAGACTAACTCACGTATACACTGTAACCAACCACAATAAATATAAATTTGTTTTTACATTATTTAACTTTGAATATGTTAATAAATTTTTGAATCTCGGAATATTAGAGGAGCAAATTTTATAATTAATGGTACATCATTATTGTTGTACAATTGTTTGTACAACAATAATGATTCAGGAAAAGTAATTAATTACTTTAATACAACACTCAATGTGAACTTTAGTGAGTTTCATATCTACTTGGTGTATTAATTCAACTAAACTGTCCTTAAGATAAACTTCAAACAGTCAAATCTTATATATCAAATTATATATCAAATATCTCAAAAACTCACTTATTATAATGCTTTTGTTCGTTATCTTATGTGGTAATTATCATAGTTATTTTTCTCTTATAATCTATACAATAAATTGTAATTATGAAATAAAATTTAATGTATTAATAAAAATAACATTATAATTAATTATTGATTGGTCAAAATATGGGTGTTGTTGAAATAATAATAATTTATCTAGTTATAAATATATTATATTTTATTATTTATTCGAAACATTAATTGTAATAAAAATGTATTATAATAATTAAATCTTTATTATATTTTTTTTAATATTTAAATATTTAACTTTTGAAAAACAAACAATATATTTTTTATATAATCTGCTTCACATTTTTAATAATTGTTATTGTGAATAATAGTAATTTAATTAATATAAATTACCATATTAAATAGTTTTTTTTTATGATTATAATAATTATAAATTATTATTATATTATTTTATTATAGTTTTGATAAAATAAGTTGATATTTTAACAACTTTATAATTATAAAAAACTTTATTATAAATTTTATTGCCAATTCGGGCTTTTAGCCCAATAAGCGATCACAAAACAATGCTTTATTATAACCATAACAATTGTATCGATTATTATTATTTCAAAAACAATTATTTTAAAAGTAATAGTAATAATTAATTAATCATAAATTTAATTATAGAAGAACAACCGAAATACCAATTCTTTCTTCTATAAATAAACAACAAAAAGACAAAAAACTTTGAAGACAAAAGGATGAAGAGGAGATGTATGGCGACTGATGATTCGATAGCCCAAACACCCGAGATAATCGAGCTTGACTCATTATCATCAGATCAGCCTCCTCGTGTCATTTCAAGTGCTTCTCACAACTCCAGTGATGATGTCGACTTAAACCAACTTTCTCCCAAGCGCGTCGTCCTCAAACCTTCTAAAGTCGACAAAATCGAGCGTGTCAGTGAAATTGAGAAAGTTGAAAAATCGGACACA